GTATAAAACAGATAACATAGCGGAGGAGACAGATGGTGAACAAGATAAATAAGTAAAAGACACGGTAGTTGGAGGACGAATGGTGAAATGGAGAAATAAAGCTGGGAACAGGAAACGGTATGGGGGGTTTTGTGATTTTTAAATGGGTGGTTTCACAGAAGGCCTCTATGAGGAGGTGACCTTTGAATAAAGGGCCAAGGTAAGTGATCTAGTGAACTTGGCAGGTATTTGGGCAATTATAAGAGGATTAAGTTGCATGTGTAGAGAAGATCTCTCAAAGACTGTTAACAGTAGCCATATAAGGGGCAAGGGATTCCCAGGTACTTCCACTGTCCATGTTTTTAAATCACAAAATAAAATTACCAGCTCCTGAGGGAATGCAGTCTGTCCACTTATAACTGTTATCACCTCCTGTGAGGGTGTTCGTAGCATTGATCATCACTTGTCATAATCGGTTTATTATGTCTAAGTTTTGGTTAAGGTGTGCAACCCCTAGGGATTCTGTAGCCAAATCCAGCTGCTGCTGCTTTGAATGTCTTCCAGTTCCTGGAATGCACCAAGCTCACTCACCACACGGCCTTTGCACAGGCTGTGTGCATTGCCTGAACAGCCAGCCCCTCTCATCATCCGCAGGTCTCTCCTCCTGCCCCTCTGGTAAGGCATCTCCCACGGTTGCTGTTATTTCACATTTACTTGTGTCTTCCCTCATGAAGGCAGGGCTGAGGTCTGCCTTCCTCCTCATCTTGACTCCCTTTCCACCTTTCCCCCAACACAGAGCCTGGCACGCAATGTTGACTTACAGAATGAACGAATAATTCTAGCGGTTGAAAATTTTTAACTTCTAAAACTAACTCCAAGGTTTTATTGGTAGGAGGGGGTCAAACCAGGTCAGGCTTCCAGTTGTCACTGCCCAGTGCGTGGCACCTACTTATTGGAACCAGGAATGATGGGCTAGAGGCGGAATCAGCTTGAACAAAGAGGTAGAGGGCAAAGAGTGATGTATGTGCCTTCTCTTCCTGGAAGGAGGTAATCCAGGAAGAAGGAAGTTGAATAAGCTTCCGGATCCCCAGTGCAGACCAGGTGTACCCGCTCCAGCCTCCACCCCCGGGGGCGCGGCTCCTTTAAGGCTCCCGGAAACGGGCTGGCAGGGCCGGAAGTGACCCTCTTTATTTCCCCTCCTCACGTGGTGTGGGCAGGAAATGACGCAAACGGCCCGGGAGCTGCGGACGCAGAGGCCGACGGAGCCCGAGTCGCGGACGCCGCGGGGTCTCCGGGACAGGTGACCGGGGAAGGGGGCCAGGAGCGCGCCCAGAGAGGGCGGGGCCTAAAGCCCCACGTGGGGGGAGCGGGAACAGGCGTGGGCGGGGTAGTGAGCAGTCGGCGGAGGCGGGGCCAGAATACTCTGCGGGGGGCGGGGACAGGACGCCCACATGGGAAGCTGGCGGGGCGCGACGGGCCAGGCCGCGGGCGGGGCCAGGATATGAGCGGGCAGCTGGGGGCGGGGCCTAAAAGTTGTGTCCGTGCTGGGGGCGTGGCCAGGACGCCGGCCGAAAACGCTGGGGGCGCGGCCAGAAAGTTTTGCTTCAGCTGGAAGTGGATCCAGATAATTGGCGGGAAGTCGGGGGTGGATCGAGAGCGTTACGTGAGGCGAGGGCGGGGCCAAAATGTGGTGGGGCGCCAGGGGGCGGGGCCAGGGTCCTGGTGGGGCATGCTGGGGGTGGAGCCAGAAAGTTGTGCCTGACCAAGGGGCGCGGCCAGAGCGTTGGCGGGGAAGGTGGCAGATGTGCCGGAACCTTGTGTGGGGAAGCCGGGGGCGGAGCCAGATGCTGACGCTAGGAGGCGGGGGCGGGATCGGGGGCGTGACCAGGAAATTGACAGGGCAAGTCGAAGGCAGGGCCGGAGCGTGGGCTGGGGAAGCCGGGGCCGGGCCGGAATAATAACATGAGAAGGCGGGGCCAGGCTCAGGCTGCGCCTGGGGAGTCAGGGGGCGGGGCCAGGTGGTGCCTGGGAAGTTGGAGGCGAGGCCAAGTTAATGACGGAAGGGTGTGGGCGGGGCCAGAAGTCTGGCGGGAAAGGTGGGGCCAAAAAGTTTTTCCTAATGGGGGGCAGGGCCAAAGCGGCTTCCGGGATCCGGGTGGCGGAGCCCTGGCGTTCCCAGCCAGGCTGGTCTGGGTTGGAACTTTTCACTCAAAATCCGGGGGCGAGCCCGGGAAGTTTTGTTCTCGTTGGGGCGGGTGAAGTATTCTCTTGGGGAGGTCAAGCGAGGTCCAGGAAGCCTTGCCAGTGGGTACCGGGCCTTTTTTCAGGATCTTTTCGAGGGATGTGGGAGGCGGCCCTAGCTTTCTCAGGATGCTGGAGGCAGGGCTTGGGACATCCCTGAGGGGGGCGTGGACTTAGAATGTTCTCTGAGAGTATGGGGTTTGAACTTTGAGTGTAGGGTTGGGGATGTTTCTGAAGCTTACCAGGCAGAGCTAGAATGTTTACTGGATGTCAGCGACACTAGAATGGGCACAGGAAGGTGAGTTTGGAACTTTCTTGTGCAGGTTGTGCAGCTTGAGCTCTCTTGAGGTAGGGGACCCAGGCTAAAACTCTTACTACAGGGACATGGAGGCTGGACTAGAGTCTTCCTTTGGAGGAGAGAAGTGTTGGATGTTTCCTTAAGCGGTTGGGTGGGGCTAGAACATTCCCAAGGTGGGTTTGACTACGTTGTTTACATGGGAAGTGGGTGAGTCCACAAAGATCAGGAAGGAGCAGAGTCTACATTTTTCCAGGGGCAGGGCTAGCACTTGAAAAGGGAGTGAGAGTGAGGGCTAGAATTCTCTTGGAGTATAGGTTTTTTTTGTGTGTGCGTATGTGTGTGTGTCTATGTGAGGATCCCCCAATATGGGAGAGGATGGAGCGGAGGGGGGGCCATTGGTCTTAGTCCTTCTGTCCCTTCTGCCCTCAGGAACCCTCAGTGCTGTATCCAGATTCTGCAGGGGAGATTTGCTGGGACCCTGGCCCTGCCCAGCCATCGAAATGGTGAGACTAAAAGTGGGGCCTGTAGAGTCTGAGCTTTGGGGAAGAGGACACTATCTAGGGGACAGACTCTCAGACCCTGGATTGAATGACCCTGGTGTGGGTAGAGGGTTTTTTCCCCATCCCTCAACTGCCTCCTGATCTCAGGCAGCCACACTGGATTTGAAATCAAAGGAGGAGAAGGATGCTGAGTTGGACAAGAGGATCGAGGCTCTTCGGAGGAAGAATGAGGCCCTCATCCGGCGCTACCAGGTGCCCTAGCCCTGCCCTGGGAGACCCCATCCCCTCTCTTCCCCGCAGTGAGTTTTTCTCACCTCTCCCTTCCTTAAAACTTTTCATGGCTCCGCATCATTGTCAGGATAAAAGCCAAAGGCCTTAGCCTGACATTCCTTCCTTCATTCCATTATTCATTCATTCATTTGCAAATATGCACCCAGGTGTCACTGTACCAGACCCTGTGCTGCTAGGGATATATCCTTGACTGAGACAGCCCAGGCCTGCTCTTCCAGGGCTCAAGGCCAGTCAGGGAGACAGCCCTGTCCTCATTCATTGATGACCAACCATGGACAAGGCTGAATGAGGGACTTTGGGGGTGTTTGGGAGTCCAGAGGGGCCTCCTGACCCAGCCTGGGGACATGAGGGAGGGCTTCCTAGAGGAGGGCACTCTGAGGCCTGCGTGGTGAGTAGACATTAGCCAGTTAAAAAGGAGAGGGGAATGTGTTTCAGGCACAGGGAACAGTTTGTGTAAATACTTGGAAGCAAGAGAGAGCGTAGAGCTTAAAGTTGGAGGGCTAGTTGGGGGAGAATTGGCCTGGAGAGGTTAGCAGGGCTGGGCCATGCAGGGCCCTGAATGCCACCAGGCTGAGAGTTTCGGACTCTCCTGAGCACACTGGGGAGCCATGGAGGGCTTTATCGGGGGGACTAGGTCAGAATAGCTATTTAGGAAGACCTCTCTGCCTGCTTTTTGGCAGTGGATAGGAGGAGGCAATACTGGAGACCAGAGACCAAGGAGGAAGCTGGGGCAGAAACCCTAGGGAGAGAGGAGGTGCCTGGCTCAGGACAGGGCTGTTGAGGGTGACACGGTTACCAATGGGCAGTCGGGGTAAGAAGGAGCGTCCAGGACAAGGCCCAAGAGCAGGTGGGGGGCTGTCCCTGAGATAGGATCCAGGAGGAGGCATGGGTTTCATTTATTCATTCTTCATGCATTCATTCATGAAAAAATAATTGAGTTTCTATTGTGTGCCAGGCAGTGTTTTAGGCTTGGGATATATGTCAGTGAACAAAGTAGAACATTCCTGTCTCAGGTAGATTGTCGCAGTGGGGGAGGCAGACAGTAAGCAAAATGCGCAGGATGCTGGGTACTGGATGAGAACAGCGAGAACAGCGGGGGAGCTGGTTTCTATAGGGTGGTCAGGAGGCCTCGCTGGGAAGGCAGCATTTGAACAGAGACCCGAGGGAGGGAGGGAGGGAGGGGTTGAAGGCTCTCTGGGGAAAGGGTGTTCCTGGCAGAGGGATCAGCCAGTGCAAAGGCCCAGAGGCAAGTCTGAGCCTGGTGTGTTCTGGGAACAGTGAGGAAGCCAGAGTGAACAAGGGGGAGAGGCGGAGAGAGGAGGTCAGGGAGGTAACGAGGCCAGGTCCTGGGGGGTCCCATAGGCTGTGGGGAAGGCTCTTACTCTGAGGTGGGCACTACGGGAGTGTTCTGAGCGGGGGAGCAACGTAACGGAGTTTGAGGGACAATGCTGAATTGACCAGTTTTGAGAGAGGCCGGGGCTGGGGTCAGGCTTAGGAGGGATTCGGGGGGACTGTGGGAGTCTGGATGGCAGACAGGGCACCTGATCCCCACCCCCGCACTGGCTGCTTGCTCCCAGGAGATTGAAGAGGACCGCAAGAAAGCTGAACTCGAGGGGGTGGCAGTGACAGCTCCCCGGAAGGGCCGCTTGGTGGAGAAGGAGAACATGGCCGTTGAGGTGGTGAGCTCATCTCCAGGGCTGGTGGGTGGCCTCAGTCCTGGTAGCTGCCCTCTCTGGGCATGGGCTGTCCCATCCCAGTCTCTGCCCCAGTGACTGTACTTTTCCCCTTTCCCCTCTTCCAGGAGAAGAACCTCGGTCCTTCCCGGAGGTCTCCTGGGAGCTCTCGGCCCCCAGGGGCCAGCAAGGGGGGCCGGACTGCTCCACAACAGGGAGGCCGGGCAGGCATGGGCCGAACGTCCCGCAGCTGGGAGGACAGTCCCGGGGAGCAACCTCGAGGAGGAGCTGGGGGCCGTGGCCGGAGGGGCCGTGGCCGGGGGTCCCCTCATCTCTCTGGAGTTGGAGATGGCTCGACCTCTGACCGCAAATCCAAGGTAGGAGCTGGGCAGGGCTTGAAGCCCTGGGCTGGGACTCCCTTGTCTAGTTTTTTCTCTGTTCCTACTCTCAAGTGGACTGCTTTTCCGTTTATCGTTAGAAATGAGTGTGTGTCGTTGTATCTCCCTCTCCTCCATCTCTCCCTCCCCCTCTTCCCTCCCCCCACCAGTGCCGTGTGCTCTCCCTGTGTCTCCCTCTTCCTCCCTCTCTCTGGTGTGTGCTCACCTGCTTGTCCTCTGCCCTTCTCTGTCTCCTCCCTTTCTGGCACTGTCTGTCTGTCTGTCTGTCAGGCGGGCGCTGACTGGTGTGCTCGTGTGCACGGGCTCTGCGCGGTGCTCTCTCAGTCCCTGAGTTTGCTTGTGGGGACCAGTGACCTCACCGACACGTAGGTCAGCAGGGCGGGAGGCCGTCTAGCGCAGCGGCTCACGGCCCGCCGCGGACTTGGGTACAACCCGCCCTGATCAGTTGCCTGTCCTCAGGCAGCTCACCGCCCCCCACGCCCCGTGCGCTTCTGGTTCTCACACTTACACAGAAATGAGAATGAGATTTAAAGATTATTGTAAGCATTCTGTGACCTCAGGCATCGAAGGCCTCAGAGTAAGCTCTCAGTAA